AAGGAGCTTGGGATTTAGTAGGGCAGACCTGATTAACCCTGCATCTTCAGACAATGAGAGAAGTACAGTGGGATAGTTGGGCACAAGCACTATGGGAGAATGAGGGGATGGGGAGTGTAGATGTTCCTGGAGAGATGACACCTGGAAGACAAAGTGAGGGTAAGAGCACTCCTGGCTAGGTCTAGGGGTGGTGTGGAGTATAGCACCTGTGAGGATGTGGAGGCCTGAGCATTGCCTGCTTAGGAAACTACAAGTTCATTTTGGCTGAGAGAATGACCTTGGGGGCTGAGCTCAGGATTTTGACCTTCATCCTAAAAGCTGAGGAAACACCATCAAGAAAGTGAAAAGGCAACCCACAGAATGAGAGAAGTTTTACAACTCGTGTATCTGCTAAGGGACTTGTATCTGGAATATACAAAGAACTATAAAGACAGGACTGGGCATGGTGGCTCACGCATGTAATCCCAGTGCTTTGGGAGGCAGAGACAGGGAGATCATTTGAGAACAGGAGTTCAGGACCTACCTGGATAACATAGTGGGACCCTATCTCTAAAAAAAGTAGATTTTTAATTAGCTGGATGTGTTGGTATGTGCTTATAGTCCCAGCTACTGGGGATGGCAGGGGGCTGAGGCAGAGGGATTGAGCTCAGAAGTTTGAGGTTGCATTGGGTTATGATCATACCACTGCATTCCAGCCTGAGCCACAAAGTGAGACATTTCTCTGTGGCCAATAAGCACATGAAATGATGCTCCATATTATTGGCCATCAGGAAAATGGAAATCAAAACCACAATGAGATAATTCACATTCACTAGAATGGAGAAATGAGAATCCTCATATACTGCTAACACAAATATAAAATGGTGCAGTCGCTTTGAAAAGTGTAGCAGTTCCTAAAAAGGCTCAACATAGAGTTTAAAAATAAAAGAAATTTAGGCCAGGCGCTGTGACTCACTCCTGTAATCCCACCACTTTGGGAGGACAAGGTGGGTGGATAACCTGAGTTCAGGAATTTGAGACTAGCCTGGACAACAAGGAGAAACACCATCTCTACAAAAAATACAAAAATTAGCCAGGCGTGGTGGCATACACCTGTAGTCCCAGCTGCTTGGGAGGCTGAGGTGAGAGGATCACTTGAAGCTGGGAGGTGGAGGTTGCAGTAAGCCAAGCTCATGCCACTGCAGTCCAGCCTATTTCAAAACAAGCAAAAATTTGCCAGGCATGGTGCCACTCACCATGTAGTCCCAACTACTTAGGAGACTGAGGCAGGAAGGTGGCTTGAGTTCAGGAGTTCAAGGCTACAGTGAGCCATAATTGTACCACTGCACTCTAACCTGGGTGGCAGAGCGAGACCTCATCTTGAAATAAACAAAAAATGTAAAAATAAAGAGAAGTAGTATGGGTGTAGTTGCAGAATGAAGCACAGTCTTTAAACTGAATAAACTCAGCTTTATAAAATAGTTTTTCAAAAAGGCAGAGAAAAGCTGAGGGAACCCACTGAACTATAGGAAGAACCACATTTGCAGGAGGAGGGGCCTTTGGGAGCAAAACCACCCACAGCCTCCAGCTTGGCTGAGGAGCCCCTCATACTCCTGCACTTCTGGAGCACTTGGGACTGGAGGGAGCTGCCACTGATTCTAGGAGCTGAGGATTGGGCTGTGTAGAGGGGGAGGAGGGAGATGCCAAGGTGGAGAGGCCCGTGTTTACCATGGGAAGACACCGGAGAAAAGGCTGGCCAGCTCTCCGTGTCTTCCCAACTCCCTCCATTAAAATTGGCAGGATAGCCCTTAATTGTATTGTAATGGTTATGGATTCGAAAATGGTTTTTCCCTTGGTGTGTGTTCTCTTTCCTCAGATTGGAAAGGATCGGGTACTGAATTTTGACCCTTGCTGCATCAGCTACTTTACTAAAGGGGAATACATTTTGCTGGGGGGTTCAGACAAGCAAGTGTCTCTTTTCACCAAGGATGGAGTGCGGCTTGGGACTGTTGGGGAGCAGTACTCCTGGGTGTGGACGTGTCGAGTGAAACCGGATTCCAACTATGTGGTAAGAAGAGGAAGTTTGTTCTGTGGGACCATGGCTTGGAGAGGTACTGAGCAACGCCCCTGTCTCGAGAGTCGTACCTGGGGTTTGTGTCTGACAAACAGGAGAACAGACTTTCTCCATAGAGCTGGGAATTGACAGCTCTCTTACCCTGCAGGTGGTTGGCTGCCAGGATGGCACCATTTCCTTCTACCAGCTTATTTTCAGCACAGTCCATGGGCTCTACAAGGACCGTTATGCCTACAGGGATAGCATGACTGATGTCATTGTGCAGCACCTGATCACTGAGCAGAAAGGTAAGAGGCAGGTGCAGACCTTGGGAAGAGGGACAAGTGGAAGCAGGTGGAAAGGGCTAGTGACAGAGCACTTGAAATGACAGGAAAGGTTTCTCCTTGGCCTTTTGAAAACATGTTAGCCACTGGGTCTGTGTCTTGTTTGTTTGTTTTGTTTTGTTTTCTGGTGGGGGAAGTAGGGATGTCAGTCTCCTTGAGGATCTCATGAAAGCAATAAACTCTCTCTGAAAAATGTACCAACCCAGAATTTTGCACATAATTCCAAGGAGTACATGAGTTTCCTGAGTGAGGGAGGATGATTTGTGACAGGTTGGAGCCAGGTGGTTGACCTGCATGGGTCTTTGTGAACCTTTGTCCTTTCCAGTCAGAGTTTCTCTGGGATGCTTCTCCCTCAGCCCAGTCTCCACTTGACTCCTGGCAGGTCCTTCTGCCAGAGATGAGCAGGGGAATTGGATTGGCACAGGCTTAGTCAGAAGATCATGGTTCCAGGCCTACCATGTCAGCCCAAGCCCTAAGACCTCAGTCTCTCCCTCTGTCTATGTAAGTAACTGTGCTGTTAAGCAGGCTCAGAATCCACTTATTTCAGGTGTATTCATATCTAGATGTGCTGGCCATAGTGCACTGCTGGGTGCCTTTGCAAAGGGATCCAGGTGGGGACTTGTCTTGTAGAATCAGATGAGTGTCCTTTGGTCCCCATGGGGGACCATGTCTTTTTGAAGATTCTGGCTGTGGTGGTGGGGACAGAGCCCCTTGGGCAGCTCCGAAGTGTCCCTTCAGGGACATTTTCTCCACCTCGTCTGCAGTGGGAGTGTAGAGCCTGGTATGTATCAGATATTATGTGTCTTTTCTGTTTGTCAAGGAGGTGGGCAGGGAGTGGCCAGAGGTGAGGTCAGTCACTTAGGCAGGCTCCCGATTGCCAGGGGCCACTAGTGCTGTGCAAAGAGTTTACATTTGTATCCAGCGAGTGATGGTAACACTGAGTACTTTCTTTCCATACTCAGTTGTCAGCCTTGGAACATGAAGATTGTGTCCTGTAGGACTTTGGATCCCAGTGCTTAGCAGAGCTGATTGTATATATTAGGTACTCTAAAGATTTTTCAATGAGAGTACCTCAATTTAATTGCCAGTAGCGTTAAGTAAATGATGGCTTTTAATTTCTTTGCCTTCCACCTTACTTAACAACCTCTTGCTAGAACTAGATATTTTTTTCTTTGACAGTTCGTATTAAATGCAAAGAGCTTGTCAAGAAGATTGCCATCTACAGAAATCGATTAGCTATCCAACTGCCAGAGAAAATCCTCATCTATGAGTTGTATTCAGAGGACTCATCAGACATGCATTACCGGGTAAAGGAGAGGATTGTCAAGAAGTTTGAGTGCAACCTCCTGGTGGTGTGTGCCAATCATATCATCCTGTGCCAGGTGGGCAGCAGCATGTTAGAGGAGTTGGACTGAATTCCATTTGTGCTCTCCCCAACGATAGGGTGCCCACCTCTTGGTTTTAAAACTGGTCACTAGAAAACAAGTCTGTTGCCATCAAACTAAGTGGCTGCTTATTGCCTTTCATTGTCCTGGCACCTAGATGAACCAGACTGTATTAGCAAGTCATGAGCCATAAACTGGAGAATACTTTTTTATTATTATTATTACTATTTTTTTTTTTTGAGACAGAGTTTCGCTCTTATTACCCAGGCTGGAGTGCAATGGCGCGATCTCGGCTCACCGCAACCTCCGCCTCCTGGGTTCAGGCAATTCTCCTGCCTCAGCCTCCTGAGTA